CTCTTTTCTAAAAAAAAAATATCTATGTTGGACTGAACATTCCACCTTTTACATCCAGTTTTGATACATGGTACGCAGTCAATTTATATATAATAAACTATGCAATGGTAATGTTCACAGACGTAGTGGACTTTATTGGGCACCTATATAGAATTTAAAATCCCACACAGCTTCCTTACATTATACTCAATTGCATAATACGGGGAATGTATAAGAAACCTGAGCCAGGGTGGGGGGGGCGGGGAAGGGGGGGGGGGTTGTCGACTCTGCGCCGTAAGCCAAGGATGTAAATGAAGGAGCAAAACAAAATATACGTGGAATACAAAACCCTATATACGCATGCATACACACACATACGCACACACACATACGCACATACACGCAGACTTACGCACATACACGCAAACCACGCACATACACGCTTACGCACATACACGCAAACTTACGTACATACACACACATACGCACATATACACGCACACGTAAATACAACACACTAGTAATTTTCCTCTGATAAAATTAACTGGAGACTTACTTCCCATAATAAAATACATCATATACAACATCAAGAAAGATTTCAGGGATTTTTCCAATTCCTAAATTTTACCAACGGTGCCAATGCATACTATAAAAAATAATTAGACAGACCAATTAAACAATGATAAAAGACTGAACAATGTGATCGGAGCTGGAATCTTACAAATCTTTTCTCCCATATCAATTTGTAAATAAAATGAGCACAAGAATACATATGCAAGATATATTTTCACTACACATCCTTTGAAAGAGAAAACGAAATTTGTTAAGCTTATGAATCAAATGAACATCCACGAGCCTTTTCATTCATAAATTGCAAAATGATTACAAATATATGGCATAGGAATCCATCGTCACTGTAGTCCTCTAATGCTAACTCCTAACAGAATCTGAAAAGAGTAAGGATTTTGAAACCTTCTTTGCGGAAAGAGAGAGAGAGAGAGAGAGAGAGAGAGAGAGAGAGAGAGAGAGAGAGAGAGAGGAGAGAGAAGAGAGAGAGAGAGAGAGAGAGACAGAGACAGAAGAGACAGAGATGAGAGAGAGACAGAGACAGAGAGAGACAGAGAGAGAGAGAGAGAGAGACAGAGAGAGAGAGAGAGAGAGAGAATGAAATAAAACGTAAGACATCTCGATCTCTACAGAACCACTTTTTTATGGATATTTCGATAACTGCATCTCGACCCTTTCAGCCAACGCCATTTTTCTTGGAACCGCTGCAGTCGGTTCTCGGAATTGAGATCCATTTGGCTGCCAGATGTGTGTTTACTATCAAACACACACACACACACACACACACACACACACACACACACACACACACACACAACACACACACACACACATATATATATATATATATATATATATATATATATATATATATATATATATATGGTGTGTGTGTGTGTGTGTGTGTGTGTGTGTGTGTGTGTTGTGTGTGTGTGTGTGTGTGTGTGTATGTGGTGTGTGTGTTGTGTTGTATTATCATCATCATCATCATCCCCTTTTTGGATTTGAGAGAGAGGTTGTTTTCTTGTGCTATCAGCTACTGCAAAAAAAAAGAGACAGATAGACACATGGGCGTCATTTCAGTTTTTGTGTGAGGGGGGGGGGGGGAGAAAGGGTTGACGAACGTAGTATGCGAGAAAAGTGAATAATGATGTTAACCATTTTGTGTCATAGTTATTTCGTCTGAAGATTTTTTTTAACGTACTTATATGGGAAATTTATATAAAATGTTCTCCACGCTTTGACTGAATCGGTGACCTTTTCACACCTTATTATCATTTTTTTATTATAATTATAATGATTATCACTATAATTGTTATCATCATCATTATTACCATTATCATTACTACTACTACTACTACTACTACTATTACTATTATTATTATCATTATTATTGTTATTATCATTGTTATCATCATCATCACTCTTCTCATTGGTAACATTTTCATTATTGTTATTATTATCATTATCGTTGTTGTTGTTATTGTTGTTGTTGTTACTGCTGCTGCTAATGTTGTTGCTACTCTTGTTATCATTGTTATCATCATTGTCATTATTATTATAACTACTATTACTACTACAACTGTTATTACTATTATTATTGTTGTTGTTATAACAAGGATAATCATTTTATGGCTATTGTTATAGTCAGTCATCATTTCTGTTTATCATTGTTATCATCACTGTCATTAATATGATACCCTTTGACATCATAACAATGATAATTTTCACAATAATGATAGCAACTTTTCTATAAGGAAATAAACATAAATGCAAAATGAAAAATATGATAGGAGAAAGTAACAAATTCTAGCTTTAACGTTTTCATAAACTTTTAGAGATAAACGTTTCATAAACTTTCAGGTAACAAATTCTATCTTTAACGTTTTCAAAAAAAATCGTGACAAATTCTAACCTTGACGTTTTCACAAACTCTATAGCATTCGATGATACGTGAAAAATGTTGCTTTATCGTTTTGCGCAGTTATATTTATGCCGAGTAAAATTCGCCAACTCCCATTCGTTCTCAGCTTAACCCTTTCAAGATGTAGTTTTAAGGCTTCGCGTTTGTTATATAATATTCCGTATGCAGTATTGATTTTACTACTGTACTGAATGAACACTGTAAAACGTATTTCTTTTTCTTATTCTTATTAGTGTTATCATTAATATTTTTCGCTATACGTATAGAATCGGCGCTTTTTTCATACTTTCAAAATGAGAAGCTTATATAAAATATATAAATTCAATAGATATAAATTTCCTAATCTTAATTTAAAGAAAAGAAAAGAAAAAAAAAACAACACACATCGGCATCTTCTTTGTTTACATGTGTTTTTTTCTTTGCATGAGAGTCCGGTGTCCATGCAACAGATTGAGTTGCAGGGCGAAGTGCAATCCGATACGCTATTGATCATATGTTAAATACGCAAAAACGCAGCTTCCTCATAGGTTAGGCCTTGGATAGTTAGGTTGGTTAGGTTAGGTTAGGTTTTGGATAAGTTAGGTTAGGTTAGGTTTTGGATAGGTTAGGTTAGGTTAGGTTTGTTAGGTTAGGTTTAGGTTAAGTTAGGTTAGGTTTTGGATAGTTTAGGTTTTGAATAGGTTAGGTTAGGTTAGGTTAGGTTAGTTAGGTTAGGTTTTGGATAAGTTAGGTTAAGTTAGGTTAGGTTAGGTTTGGTTAGGTTAGGTTAAGTTAGGTTAGGTTAGGTTTTGGATACATTAGGTTAGGTTAGGTTTTGGTTAGTTAGGTTAGTTTGTTAGGTTAGGTTTTGGTTAGTTAAGGTTAGGTTTGGGAAGGAGAGTGAAGATATCTGATACAGTTGGAGGTTTGGAGTATATGACCGTAATAAAGTTAAGACTGTTCTTTAAACTCTTCTTTTTGGGGAGAGATTTCAATGCGGCATAGATATGAAAAAGGAAAAATAAAAGGAAATAAAAGCTCTGTTCTAGTAATCATAGTCTAGAATGCTCTAATATACGTTATGTCTTTTGTATATACGTCAGTGAATTCGTATTACGAGAATAAAATACATAAACACTACAAAGAAAAAAAACACATACACAAATAATGCATTCCCGTATCGATATACAATTATGTATAAGTAATAATAATGCGTATACCAACAACGTATTATTGCAAGGGAGAGAGTGCACAGTTGCAGAACCTGAGCAAAGAGAGAAACTAGCCAGGTGTATCAGCCGACGCAGGAGGTGGGAGGGAATCTGCCTAGCAACTAGCAACTACCCGGGTTGCATAAGCCATTCGCAACTGGATTTTTTTTCTTCTTGTATTGAGCTTTCAGTTCTTGTTTCTTTCTTATTATGTTTTTTTTTAAATTTAGGTTTTGTTTTTATTAGGTGATGTTTATTGTGACTTTTGAGATTGAAGAGGTAGGGTTGATGAAGTGCAGAGCGTTGGGTACTTTGGCTTACGCAACTCACACAGCGCCAAAAGTTCCTTATTCGTCTTGTATAACACTTGATCATCAAACGAACTCTGCACTGTATGGTATATACAGGCCGCATGTGCTTGCGTGCGTACGTATGATTGTTTATGCGTGTCTGGATATGAATGAATAAACGGATAAAGAAAAAAAAAAGTGTGTGTGTGTGTGTGTGTGCGCAGAAACACATACTCAAACATATATATATGTATTTCTGTACGCATATATATATATATATATATATATATATATATATATATATATATATATATACATTCCTATTATTCATATGTCTGTATGCCAGTACAGCATGTATACAAACGTATGTGTGGTTCACTGTGCAGCTATATATGGATGCTATGCATGTGTGTGTCTATGCAAGCATGGAGATGCGCGCGTGTAGAAAAATAGAAAGTTAGACGGACAACCCCGTGTGCGTATAACCTTGATTTTTACACGTGCCTTCTCGTCTCCACGTGTATGGACCAGTTCCCTCGCGTGCGGGGAGGCGCCCCCAAGGCCAGCTCCTCGGCCTGGATATTGGACAGGGACCGGCAGGGAGTGTGTGAGAGGGAGGAGGCAGGGTTTCGGGTGTAAGTGCTACGTCACAGCGGCAGGGAGATTGGGGTTCGGGGTAGGGGTGGGGAGGAGGGGGAGATGGAGGGAGGGGGGAGGAGGGGAGGATGGAGGGAGGGGAGGATGGAGGGAGGGGAGGACGGGGGGGGGGGAGGGAGGAGGAGGATAGGAGGCAGATGATGAAGGGACGGGAAGGGTGGGGTGGGGGAGGGATATTAAAAAAAAAAAAAAAAAAAAGGAGGAAAGGTGGTACGGGGGAGGAGGAAGGGGAGAGGAGGGCCTGGAGGGGGGGAGGAGGTGGTATGGCGGTTGGTGAGGGAGGGGGAGAGGATGAAGGTAGAGGAAGGGAGGGAGGGAGGGAGGGAGCAGGTGGGTAAGTACGAAAAGTTAGGGGGGGGGCGAGATAGAGAGGTCTGAGGCTCCGCTGGTCCAGCCGATCCAGTCAGGCGACGCTTTCGGAGACCAGAAGACCCAACGAGGACGCTTCCACAGGATACGCTGCGTGGGAGACCGGATACTGTGACCGAGTGCTGTGAAGTGCCGTAAAGAAGTGTCTCGAGATGGGACTGAATTCACGGGAAAATAATTATAAATCCTCGGGAGAATTTTCGATTCGTTTTACATTTTGATTCGCTAATATAGCCTCGCTAACTCCGTGTCGATAAAAAGAGGTCAGTAATGGATTTCTTTGTGATCAGTTGCTATTAGGGAATGTCGGGCCTTGTGTATAAGTGTGAGGTTTTTGTAAACAATTTTTTTGCAACATTTATCACAAGTATTCTTTCTCTTCCTCTGCCTTTGTGTGTCTCTCTCTCCCTCCTTCTCTCTGTCTCTCTCTCTCTCCCTCCCCCTCTCTTTGTTTCTGTCTGTCTCTCTCTCTCTCTCTCTCTTTCACTCGCTCTGTCTCTGTCTCTCTCTGTATCTGTCTGTCTGTCTCTCTTTCTCTCTTTATTTCTCTCGCTTTTCCTCCCTCCGTCCCACCCTCTCTCTCTCTTTCTCTCTCTTTTCCTCCTCCGTCCCACCCTCTCTCTCTCTCTCGTTCTCTCTTTCTTTCTCTTTTCCCCCTCCATCCCACTCTCTCTCAATCCCTCCTCCCCCCCCCTTCTCTCTCTATCTATCTATCTTCCTGTCTATAAACACTTCTTTCATTTCACATTTTCTACCCATCCTTTTCTTCTTCAATTTCCTCTCTTTGTCCCTAATTCCATCTTTGAAAATCAGCAACACCCCCTCCCCCCTTCACCATCGTTACATGTCCTACTCTGTCCTTAAGTAAAATCGAGAGGAGAGAGAGAGAGAGAGAGAGAGAGAGAAGAGAGAGAGAGAGAGGAGGAGCAGGAGACGAGAGAAGAGAGAAGAGAGGAGAGAGAGAGAGAGAGAGAGAGGGAGGCACCGACACAGACACACACAGACACATACACACACACACCACACACGCACACACGCACACACACCACACAACAGCACGACACACACAACACACACACACGACACACATTGAGAGAGACAGGACAGAGGGAGAGAGAGAGAGAGAGAGAGAGAGAGGAGAGAGAGAGAGAGGGAGGCCGGAGAGAGCGAAGAGAGAGAAGAGAGAGAGAGAGAGAGGAGAGAGAGGAGAGGAGAGAAGAGAGAGAGAGAGAGAGAGAGAGAGAGAGAGAGAGAGAGAGAGAGATGAGAGAGAGGAGAGAGAAGAAGAAAGAGAGAGAGAGAGAGACAGAGAGACAGAGACAGACAGACAGAGAAAGAGAAGAGAAAAAAAAAACGACAAGACAAATGAACCAAAGACACAACCGCCTCAAGGAGGACCTACTGGCAAGAGGACCTTCCTAGTCGCGCTTATATAATTGCAACTTTTCGCACATACCTGGTCTCGGGTATGACGTCACGGGTGGGGACGGGTCATTCACTGCTGGTGAAAAGAGGGCCATCTCTGGGCGAATATTCTTTTATGATTATTTTTGTTATTATCATCATTGTCGTTATATTGTTGTTATTATATTTATTATTATTATTGCTATTATTATCATTATTATTATTATTATTATTATTATTATTATTATTATTATTATTATTATTGCTATCATTATTATTATTATTATTGTTATTATTATTATCATCATTATTGCTGTTGTTGTCATCACCATCATCTTTATCATCATCATCATCACATCATCATTCATCATCATATGCTACCACTAACAGGATTATGTATCAGTGATGTTGTTAGTAATCTATTATTAGTGCAATTATCTTGATTGTTATCCACGTTTTTTTTTATCAGTTCTCTTATCGTTATCATCATCATCATTATGCTTCAATTTTTTGGGATGAATACCATTGCAATTATGACTGTTAGAAGTATTATTACTACTAAATTCATTTTAATCATTATCGAAATCAGTATTGTTAATATCATTATGAGACTATGATTATCATTATCATCATCATTATTATTACCATTATCAGTATCATTGTCATCATCATCTGCAGGAATAATAGCAACATGATTATATCACTGACTAAACTAATGCAAATGAAAACGATAGCAATGACGACAATAATAATAATTATTATTATTATTTATTTATTATCATTATTCTATTGATATTATTAATATAATTATTCTCGTCATCAGCAGCAGTATTGATTTTATTCTTTTAAATATTTGTATTAGTATGATAATGACTTATTTTTGAAGAAATTATTACCGTCGTTATATTTTTTAACATTAACATTATCACCATCATCGCTTTGTTTCTGTCTCTCTTTCTCTGACTGTCTGTCTGTCTGTCTCAAGACCACTGTCACTATCTTTATGTTTATTACTATTGTCGTTCTTAAGTATAATAAAAAAACAAACTTGTTTTACAATTACCGACATGATTACCTTACAGCATACAGACAGACACACCAGAAATAACTACCAGAATGCGCCCACGGTCATCGAGAACACACATCAACTAGATATGACTTAGAACAAAGCTCAATCGAAGTGTGTGAAGTGTGAAGCAGCGTGGAGTGTGAGGGTGCGGCGGCGGCGTCTGAACCGAAGATGGGGCCGAAGAGCCAATCTATCCCCATACTGGAAACGAGGGGGAACTACGTGGAAACGACGCCACTACTGAACCAGGGTAGTTATCCGCGCCTGTACAATTACCCAGCGGACAATCCGACGCACACGTTCCTCAAGAAGCGATGCCGAGTTCGAGAGCGTCTTGGGTTCATCCTGAAGAACGTGACTGTAGAACCTTTCATGTTGTTGAACGTCTTGTCTTGGACGCTGCAGACCACGCTCGTGACGAACCTCGTGCTTGAAAAGGTAAGGGAATACGTTCAGATTTTTGTTTATTTATTTATTATTATTAATTATTAATTGTTTGTCTATCTATTTATTTTCTATCTTATTTATTTATTTTTTATTATTATTTTTATTTATTCTATTATTTTTTTTGCGTTTTATTTTTGGTGCAGTTAGATCAGGCGGTTATTTTCATTTTGTTTCATTTTAGCAATTCAGTATAATTTGTTCTTAATTAATTTGTCTACTGTTTTTTTTTCTCTCTTTTTTTAATCTCCTCTAATAATGTTGTCAGTTTTTTAGGCTTAGTTTGGTTTGCTGTAATGTATTTTTTTTCAGAGTAAAAATATATTTCATTTCTCTTATCATATAATACCAGCCTTAGATTGATATGTCAGAAAATCATAACATTTCCGTGCCATACACATCTCTCCTACTTTGAACTATTATGAACAAACTTTGTAAGTGAAGTAATTAAACCGTTAATGTCTAGTATTTTTTTTATCGTTGTAGGCCTAGTCATGTTTCAGTTCATATTTGTACTTTGTTTATTGTACATGTGTTCAATTTTATTTATATAATTAATGTTCCTGTATGACTTCTTTGTTGCATTTTATGGTATGAATATATCTTACTCCGCCGGGCTTAACCTAAGATATAAATGATATGAAGATACTTTCTGAATGTGATTTTATCCATCTTTCGTATCAAGTTATTCTGATACCATTTACCTACGGAAATATCTCGTGAATCCGTGTTGAAAAATCGTGAGGTAATAGTACAAAATAGTCTTCACTAGCTCGGAAGGATTTTACGAGCTAGTTAAGACTATTTTGTATTACTACCACACGTATAATGTTGATGATTAAGCATATATTGAATCAAGGAAACGTATATGAAGATATAGAAGAATATGTTAGTTAATTTCTTAAATTGTCTGATTTTTATTTATATATGCAAAATAGTCTTAACTAAAAAATCCTTCCTCGTTTAAGAGATGGACGTTTTATACCTTTTAATGGTCGTTTCAGTGATAGATCTTAAAAAAAAAAATTACTTCCGGCTGAAGTGTTTTAAGGAATCGGATGCCCCTTTGTTAGTTTCTTAAAAAAAATTTTCCGGATGGAGTACTGAAGGATTCTGATGCTCCTTTGTTTTTGTTTTTCATACAGGAAGGACTGTGGTATCGATCGGTTTCTTTGTCTCACTTATAATGTTGATGATTAAGTATATATAATATCAAGGAAACGTATATGAAGATATAGAAGAATATGTGAACACACATACACACAACATACACACACACACACACACGTACAACAAACACACAAACACACACACACACACACACACACACACACACACACACACACACACACACACACACACACACACACACACACACACACACACACACACACACACACACACACACACACACACACACACACACACACACACACAGATAGAGATTGATACACACACACACACCTGGTTGGAAAGTCTGCTGATGACGCACCGAATTCAAATAAGACACAAAATACTGCGCACCATTTTTTTCTCTTTGTTTACACGCGCGCCAAAACAGCGACTGAACCTTTGTACCCTAAATTACACGTGCCTATGTCTGGAAAATAACGTAGTACGCCCTCTAAAAACGGTTAAGCTTTCACCTTTTGCTTCGACCATAAACCTTGAACTTTTTGTTATCCTTATCTCGAGATTTTTTTTCCTTTTGTTAAAGTGGCCTAAGTATTTTCTGACATATTTGTTTGTTTGTTATTACGGCAAGTTACTCTTGAGTCGGACATCCTAAGAACCATTGTTTACTTTTCACAACTTCAACTTGATAGAATTAAAAAGTGACGATTCATGTAACACGAAACCTTTTCATACAAACCCAAGAGTAACCATGGTAACAAAAAATATTTCTAGCGCGGCTCGAACGAATAAAAAAATGACCACCAAACAATTATTTAAAACGCGCGCCATTTTTTGTTACATTTGCGCAACAGATATTTTGTGTGCGCTCCGTTAATATTCAGCCGCACACACACACACACACACACACACACACACACACACACACACACACACACACACACACACACACACACACACACACACACACACACACACGCACACACACACACACACACACACACACACACACACACACACACACACACACACACACACACACACACACACACACACACACACACACACATATATATGTAATATATATATATATATACAACTTTTTTCTTTTTTATATAAGACGCTTGGCGAATATGAGTAGGCTTTTCTGACACTGGACAGAGTTCCATCCAGAGAACAAACAGAGAACCTAACCTTAACATAACCATGACAAACCTAACCTAATACCATAACAAACAAACTATAAAGCCTATAACAAAAATCATAACAACAAACATAAAAAACATAACAAAGAAAGCATGAAAACCATAATATTAACATAACAAAGAAACCATAAAAAACATAACAAAAACCAAAACCATAACAAAACATAAAAACATAACAAACAAACCATAAAAAACATAACAAAAACAAAAACCATAACAAAACAAACAAACCATAACAAATAACAAACAATAACAAAAACCATAACAAACAAACCATAACAAAACATAACAAAAACACAATAAACCATAACAAACCATAAACCACAGTAAACCATAACAAACCACAATAAACCATAACAAACCACAATAAACCATAACAAACCACAATAAACCATAACGAAATCTCGGAACCAGTTTCTCTCTTACCCTTGAAATTACTCTGCATAAAAAGGCCTTTAAATTACAGCGAATTGGCACAGTATCAGAAGACAAAGGAACGGTTTAAATGTGCAAAATGTGTAATTTGCAAGTCGTTATTACGTCTTCATCGAAATGACGTATTTTTGTTAGTTAATTTCTTAAATAGTTTGTCAGATTTGTAAGTGTTATCCCAAAACTATTAAGAATGTGTATTTCATTTCATTATTAAACGTCTTATTATCCATTTCAGGGTTAGTTTGTTATCAGTAATCATTTATATATATATATATATATATATATATATAATATATATATATATATATATATATATATATATATATATATATAATTTACAGTCCGTTTCACAAATCTACAAATGGAGTCACTCGTATTCTTCTAATTATTAAAACAAACAAATCAACTTATCTTCTGGAGAAACTGCGAAGAAAAACCAAACTTCATATAACAAAAAGAAGAAAAAAAAAAAAATAACCTTTACTCTCGTTAGGCCTATATTTTGCGTCGGGTTACTACGCCATCTGCTAGCTGTGATTATTATTAGCTATGATTATTATTATCTATTAGCTGTGATGTGTGAATGTTTTCATTGTTTTCATTTGAGGCGGAAGGTGAAATAGCTTGTTATTTGCGTTCGGCAGTTCAAACATGTAAACGTGTATATATGTATGTATGTGTATCTATATCTATCTATTTATATTTATTTATATACACATTATATATGTATATGTGTGTGTGTGTGGTGTGTGTGTTTGTGTGTTGTGTGTGTGTGTGTGTGTGTGTGTGTGTGTGTGTGTGTTGTGTGTGACTTGATGTCTAAGCGCGTATGTTTACTTGGATGTCTATGCATGTGTGTTTTTTGAGTTAACTGCCAGATCACACAAAGCAATCCACATTCCACCCCAAGCACTACGAAAGAGAAATAGATAGAACACCAACCCCATTTCACCCCCATTTCCCTCGCCCATTCCACCCACCGCCCGTCATAATCAGAATCCCATCTCAAACCACCTTATAAACCGCCTTAACGCCCTCCTCCCCCCTCCACACGCCCACCCAGGTATGCGAGAGGCGTCACAACCACACCGAGTGTCAGAACATCACCGCCCTCGGGACTCCTGAAGAAGGCGCCATCCAGAGGGAGGCCACCTGGCTCCTGATGGTGCAGGAGCTCGTGGCCAACCTCCCCGCCGTCCTCTACGTCCTCGTGCTGGGTTCCTGGAGCGACAAGTACGGGCGGAAACTACCCATGTTACTGCCCTTTGTCGGGAGTTTCTTGGCCACTGTCATATACATGGTGAGAAATCTGGTGTGTGCTATTTTTGGTGTAACTGTTATTGTTGCATTATCGGTATTGCTGTGCCGTTAGTGTTGTGATTGTCTTTTGCAATGATGGACGGAGTTGTAGATCACACACATAGTTGTATTATTGTTATTGTCGACGCGAATCGACGGTGACAGAAGTCTATATACAGGTATCACTTATTAGTATCATTATTGTTGTCGGTATTATTTTTATTATAATTATCACCATTATTTTCACCATTGGTATTCTAATCCACTGACTCTGATTATCAGTTTTAGAGTTGACAGTATTATCGTCATAAAGATACTTTTACGTGTATTGCCTAATTTACCATTTATAATCACGTGCAGCAACAGTAATAGCAGTATAAAATAATTTAATTTCCCTAATTTACCATTTACTATCACATGTGCAGCAACAGTAATAGCAGTATGAGGAGGTAGTTTATTTTCCCATTAACACAAACCGCCCATCCCAGACGAACGCCCTGCTGTGGTGGCTCCCGGCGGAACTCGTGGTCCTGGCCGGCATCCCCCGGGGTCTGAGCGGCGGCCTCATCACCCTCTTGATGGCCACCTACTCGTACGTGTCCGACCTCTCGGGCCTCCAGTCCCGCACGCTCCGCATCGCCTTCCTGGACTTCACGATGTTCGTCGGCGCGCCCGTCGGCCTCTTCCTCAGCAGCGTCATCTTCTCCCGCTTCGGATACGTGGGCGTGTTCAGCATCAGCGGCGCGGGGTTCCTCCTCAGCGTCCTGTACATCGTCCTTCGCATCGAGGACACCCGCTCGCACCACGGGGCCAAGTGTGACATGGTGCGCGACCTCTTCGACCTGACCAACGTCCGCGCCACGCTGACTGTGGCCACCAAGCGGAGGAAGGACCATGGACGGGCCAAGATCTTCGCGCTGATGTTCGCCATGTGTCTCTTGCTGTTCGTTATTGGTGAGCGTCGACTCGTCTTGCTTGAGGCGAGACACTGGGTTATTTTCCACTCGCTATCCCCTCTCTCTCTCTCTCTCTCTCTCTCTCTCTTCTCTCTCTCTGTCTCTGTCTGTCTGTCTCTGTCTCTCTCTTTCTCTGTCTGTCTGTCTGTCTCTGTCTCTCTCTTTCTCTGTCTGTCTGTCTCTGTCTCTGTATCTCTCTGTCTCCGTCTCTCTCTCTCTCTCTCTCTCTCTCTCTCTCTCTCTCTCTCTCTCTCTCTCTCTCTCTCTCTCTCTCTCTCTCTCTCTCTCTCTCTCTCTCTCTCTGTTTGCCTATTTACGCACTTATATGTACAGCTTGACTCCAGATTCAGAAAAAAATGCGGAACTTTTCGCTGAGTCTGTCACGACGCGACCTTCGCCATAGACAGCGTTCATGAATATTAAAAATCCTTTGATAGAAGACCCCCCTCTGAGGAAGACTGGTCCCTTGTATAGAGCAAAGATGGGATGTTTGTCTTTTAGGATTTACCAGCAGCAAGGACATCCAGACCTTCCATTCTCGTCTTTTCTAGAATGGGTCGAGCGTCTTTCCTATTTAGAAGAAAAAGTCCTATTTGTGTGTACTTCTTTATATATGCTATGAAAAACCTGATTTCTTTAAGTTCAGTGTTCTTAGCAGGTTTGTCTTTGATGATAAGGTCATCTTCATCCAGTGTTCCATCGCAGGAATTTTGTAGATAACTCCTCTGTCTGCTGAAGGTTATTTCCATAACCTGAGTGTTTTTAATGAAGGAGCTCTGAAGAAAGGGAAGTTGCTGTCAAGAATGGATGACTATGGGAATGGTGTAGTGTGTATATTTAATCATGACAAAGGAAGAAGTTTCATAAATATTATTTTTTTCTTTATTTCTATTTTTATTTATTTATTCATCTCTTTTACTACGGTGCACGTAGCCCTTACTCTAATATGATTTGTGGTACTCAGGATTGTTTACAGTTGTAATATTTCCTCACCAGGTGGAGCGCATTTAGAATACCTGTTCGTCAAGAAGAAATTTAATTGGACTTATGAGCAATTCGTCAATTTGAGTATATTTGACATCGTGTTTGGGAGCGTGGGTAAGTAATGGCAGGTTTGAGCCAAGATTACTGACAATTTTGTTTTTTTTATCATTGTTACTGCTGTTCCTTTGTTAGAAAAAACCATGGTTAAAGCTCTCGTTCATATCTAGCTTTGTTTAACATAAATTTGTATACATGTAACTCATATAAACCTTTTTGAAATAAGTTTAATGCCAGTGATACGTTGTACCTCGACAAGTGTTCAGTCCCCGATATACTTATAGTCCGCACCAACAAACATTAAATATTTCAACATTAATAAAATTCAATCTAACAATATTGCAATTCACAGGGACCTCTATGCTGTTGCCTATCCTGAGTTACAAATTCGGAATGGAAGACAGCATTTTAGGGTTGCTGGGGTGTGCGAGTAAGATCTCAGGCCTGGTGCTCATGGCCCTCAGCCCCTCCTCGTGGTATATGTATGTCGGTAAGGCAGAATTTGGATGTTTGTTCAGAGACTGTTTATTATGATTTATTATGATTATGATTCTTACGTGATGCGTGGTTCCTTTTATAGTTGATTTAGCACTGAAATAGAAAATGCAATGTTTATGTTGTGATTCGGATTGTTGAATTAATTTAAAGATTTTTTTTTCTTTTTATTCTCACTGTTTTCACTGCTCGGTTAGAGTTACGTACAGGCTAGACAATAGGTTAAGTACTTTAATTTTCATTAAATGCGGAAAAAAACCTCTTAGGTCATTACAACGCCTCTGCACCCTTTCTTTACAACATTTTTTTTTAACAACCCACAGCTTCGGTCGTGTCGTTCCTGGCCGGTCTGCCGCTCATCGTGACGCGTTCGGTGATCAGCAAACTCGTACCGGAAGACGAAGTCGGAGCCGTTTTCTCCCTCTTGGCTTCTTGGGAGGCGCTTGTTCCCCTTTTCTCGGGTCCTGTCTACACTTTCGTCTACGCTCATACCATCGACGTCTTCCCGGGAGTCATCTACTTCGTCAGTTCGGGAGCGACGG